AAGATCTAGAGGTTTCTTTGTAATCTCTCCTCTCTCTCTCTCTCTCTCTCTCTCTCTCTCTCTAGAAACTCACCCTCTTCTCTTGGTTTAAGAACACTAGGTCTATATTTGGGTTTAATGTTGATGTATGTGACACATGCCATGTTTGATTGATGATTCTACTTGATTGATGGATGTTTTCATGAATTACATGAGTTGGGTTTCTATTTTCATGGCTTAAGCTTTTGACCTAGGAGTGGGATAATCCCCTTAGAGCCCATTATTGGCGTCTTTGGGTCACTCCTATCGTATATTGTCCGGGTAGTCCCTGAGGGAGTTGATTTAACCGATCTCCTTGCAATATACGAAACCCTAGGTTGAATAGAGAACCTACCCATCCATCGATTTGCTGTTCTGGATCATTCCCGAGGGAGTCCTTCTCCAAACGGTAGTGTGTTTGAGTCGATCGAACTAGGAGGATACTCAACATCAATCTAAAGCTCGGGAATAGTGGGTTTAACCCAAAAGAGCTCCAACCTTGTAAATAGCTAGGTTAGTGGTTAGCTAGGTTAGTTAGTTTAATTCTTAAATCACCATCGTAGGTTGGCTAGATAACGAACCCTAAACCTGAAGTAGGGTAAGCGTAGATCCCCGTGGTACGATAAATTCTTATTGCTTGCTTGCCCTATGCTACACTCGGTCGGTGGTTATTCTTGACCATCGATTGGGATGCTGTATAGCTAGAACGAGTCAAGTTTTTGGCGCCATTACCGGGGAACCATTTTAGACTATTTGAAAAAGGGTTAGGTCGTTACTTTGGCTATTTTATTTTGTGTTTTTTTTTATTTTTGTTGACCCACTCTTCTTTTAGAAGGGTAGTTTGTGTGTGTTTGATTTTTTTTTATGTTTTTGTTTGTGTAGGTTATGAATCATGGATCCCAATGAATTCTACGATAGGTGGGGGTATCCACAACCACCCGGATGGGGGTACCTCGGAGCTTCATGGAGTGAACAAGAAGAGGGAAGCCAAGGATCCGGGTTCTATTACCAACCCCCCTTCCAAGAAGAATAACCATACCATTGGGGGTATGAAGAGGCTTCCCCATACCAAGAAGATTCCCCTCCACCATCCGAGGAGAAATGCAAGTTAGAATTGGCCATGGAAGCCTTCATGGGACAATCATCAAGACCATGTGCCACTCCACAACCGGAGCCAAAGGGAAACTGGGAGGTCATAGTAGAGAAATTTTCCCGGGGTACCGACAAGGGATGCTCCAATTTGGACCTTCCCATCACCGACCCTATTGACTCAACCTTTCTTCGGGAATCGGAGGAGCTCCTTCAATGCATGCAGAGGCAAGGAGAGCTTGTTGAGCAAGCATGTGCACAACTTGCTCACAATCGCCTCCTGCCATTTGAAGAAGAGAAAGAGGAGGTCGAAGAGGCAAGCCATTAGACCTTTGGAAGAATGAGCTCTGGCATAGATTTCCAACCCCTCCCTCCTTCCGGTTTGACACTAAGTGGAGGAAATTGAAGAAGAAGGAAGCGAGGTTGAGGAAGAAGTAGAAGGAGCAAGTGAGGTCCAAGATGAAGACGAGGTTGTGGTGGATGAAGCTTCAACAAGTTACAAGTGCGAACAAAGCTTTCCACCCGACCTCGATGCACTTTTGGAGAAGGACCCATTTGCGGCTCTTTGCCAAGCCATCGGCGATCCCTCTTGCTGGATGCGATGGTGTTAAATCGATGATGCGTTATATGGTGTGGGGGCAAAGAGAAGAAGCAAGAAGGAAAGAAGAAGAGGTCTCGTGGGTTGAGCCTCAATGCCACTCAAGTTCACGAGCCCTCAATCATGGACTCGTCCAATGCTCGTGACTCGTTCAAAGTGAGCACTGTTCCTTAAGTTAAAAGATGTGGCATGTTTTTAGCTCTCTGTAGCCCTCAAAGAAAAGAAAAGAGAAAAGAGAAAAAAATCAATAAAAGGGCAAAGAAGAAAAGAGAGTGGCCACCAAAAATATAAAAAATGTTGGACATGCTTTGAGAGATATACTACCCCCCCCCACCACACACACACACACATAAACTCGACATTGCCCTCAATGGTGTAAAATAAGGGGTAGAACGATGTTACCGCATAACTTGGCGAGTGAAAGTCGGGACCGGATCAGGTCAGAGATGAAGAGGAGAGAGCTCCATGGAGACAAAAACAAATACACAAGCTCTTGCAAGGCAAGATTATTGCACAAAAATAGTACTTAACATAAAAATAAACACAAACCTATGTTGGGTTGCCTCCCAACAAGCGCTACTTTTACGTCATAAGCTAGACGGTTGTTCTTTAAGTCTTGGTCCATGCTAGCACCTCTTTGTAGTTGAGGTTATCATCGTGTAGGCGGAGCCTCAAGTCATGAGCACACAGAATGGCAATTGACGATGAATCATGCACTTGAGTGGTTTGGAGCCTCCAACCTTGAGACCTGTCCTTCTCTTTTTCTCCTTTCTCTTTGCCCCAAACCGGATGGAACATCATAGACTCTTCACCTCCGCATTCGTCAAGAAAGAATGATGACGGAGTGGCTTTGGTCGGGCAAAGAGTGATCGCAAAAGGATCCTTGCCAAGAAGCTCTTCGAACTTCGGTGGAGATTTCTCGATAATCACATGGTCGATGCAAGCCTCTTCCACTGAGTCTTCCTCCTTAGCACAAAAGCCAATTGCTTCATCCAACTTCTTCCCTTCTTCAAATTCCTCCTCTCGGGAATCCTCAAGAAATTCCTCTTCTTTTTCTGCTACCTCCTCCACAACTTCTTATTTCCTCATCTTCCCTTGCTCTTTCGCAAGCAAGCGTTGAATAAAGAGTTTACAAGCAATGTCTTCGATTGACTCGATACTTACCTCCTTATTGAGAACTTCCTCTTCAACGCTTGGGATGAAACGTGGAAGAGTGGTGGCTACCTCCAGAGGACATTCCAAGTCGTGAGTATCACGGTGGCCATCCGTGACAACTTCCGACCGTTCCAATTCATCCTCGAGGCTCTCCTCTTCACATTACTTTTCTTCACCAACCGCCAAGAGTCGGTCTTGGGTGAACTGCGCACAAGCTTCCTCGACCGTCTAGTTTAGCTTCTCCATGCTCTTGCGTATCCCCTCCGCTTCATAGAGGAAATCCGAGTGAGGTGGACCCATGGTTGGAAAGGCTGGTTCGGAATATGATCTCTCATTATCCAATACAAACTTCTCCACCAATATCTCCAATTGGCTCTTCCCTTCTTGTTGTGGAGGGTAACCTTCATAGTATGGATAAAACTCTTGAACATCCAGGGGATATGGTTGCTCGTCATGGAAAAGTAGTTGGTAGTCGACCTCGGATCTGTACTCATCTCCTTCTTGATATCCCCATGTCGGCTCGGGGTAACACCATTCGTGTGTTGGTGGATACCCCCACGGGTAGGAGAAGCTCTCGGGATCCATGTCTCAACTCTGCATCACACAAAGATAAAACACAAAAACAAAACACAAGACAATGCAAGAAAAAAATGCTAGAGTAACACTAAACGACCATTTCAAAATAATGGAACGCAGTTCCCCGACAACGGCTCCAAAAACTTGACTCACACGAAACTACACCGCGAATTAATCCTGACTAGAGCCCAAGTTTTTAAACTCTAGCCGGGTGCAGTATAGGGCAAGTATTTAATAGTCAAACCCAGGCCGGTCCATGTACCCCTACTTCAATCGCTTAAGTTTTTATCTAGCAAAACTGTTTTGGGTTTAAAACTATGACAACTACAAATGAAAACAAGCAATGTAAATTGGGTGGAAAATTGTAAGTGAGGACCTTTCACTCGGGTGTTGCTTTCCCCTAGCCAACTACCAAGAACTGTGGGATTGAATGAAGCGGCTTGTGACGAGGAAATTATGACCCGTTGGAGGTGAAACAATGATTGGAAACCATTCTCCCAATCGCTAGGCCAGGTAGGGGTCAAAGGCTATAATTGTAGCCCTCTTAGCCCAAGCAATTGAGGGTTGACTTAGTTTCTCCCTCAAACCAAGGGTTTGAACGATATAATCACAATTAAACCAGATGTCTAATTCAAGCTTAGAGGTTTGCCCTTAATTAACCTAGAATAGAAGGCATGGAATGCCCAAGGAAACCCATCTCTAAAAGAGCCTCTTAACCAAAGGAGGTCTCCTCTCTAAGCTAGGTTAGAATGGCAATTAGATTGATAGGCTTTCACACAACAGAATCATTTATGAATAATACCTCAAACCATAAATTAAACACCTCCATCACGCAATCATTCAATCCACACAATCAATTACATGATAGGAGTTAGGGTTCTACAACACCCAAGTGAAAAAGGAAACTACTCCATGCTAGATAAAGGAAGAACACAAAGGAAGAAGAAAGAAACCATCAATGTGATGCCTACAACCCTCCTTGTGCTTGTAGAACTCCTCATTGGGAGAGGATCTTCCAAAATCTTCACTTGGAGCAAACCCTAGCCTCTTCTCCCTCTTGGTTTGTCGCTTTTTCTCTCTAGGGTTTCAAGAAGAAGGCTCTCCCTTCTCTCTTCATTTCATCTCACGTTTTATACTGGGATCGGGCTTAGTTCACGGTCGTGAACTCTTTAACGCATCGGCAAACTCGGAGTGTTGTGTCGAAATGCACCGCTTCACTCACTTGAGTTTACGATTTTCACTCAAAGTTCACGGTCTTGCTTACTGTGAACTCACCTTGCATCAGTAACTTCATAATTTGCCATGGACGCTTCACGGTTCATGATTTATGGCTTAAGTTCACGGCCTTATGAGACCGTGAACTCCAATGGGAAACCATGAACATGGCATGAATCACTCCCTTTGCCCGGTCTTTGCTTCTTTTCTTCCAACTTTCAACTTTGTGGCTGGTGTAAAACCACCCTTTGAGGAGTTCAAATGCCACAAAAGCCCAAGGGAAACGGGGATAAAATGTGTGCAATTAGCCCGAATCATCCAGCAAGTGGATGGTAAGAAGGATGAGGTTATGGACTTGATGGAGGCCGAGAGTAGTGTCAAGGAAAACGAGTACCAGCTGCCGCAGGATACAGAAGATGCAAAGTCTGTGGCATTTCGCATGGTGGCGCCGGATCTGGAGGATACTGACGACAAGAAACAAGCAACGATGATGGTAGAGGATTTTTCAAAAGACCCGACTGCGGCTAAAAAATTGTGCTTGGAAGACTCTGGAGTGGAAGAGAATGTGAAGGAGACTGAAGCGGTGGAGGTAGCCAGCCGGGAATGGCTCCAAACTGATAAATGAGGTTATTGGCATGGAATGTGCATGGGATTGGGCCGTCCATTACATTTCAATCAATTTTATGTGTTCTTCGAGCCAATAATCGTGATGTATTTTTCTTTTCTGAAACTCGTTCGCGTTGTAGAGTAGTCATACGTAGACTGCGAAGTTTAGGTTTTCGGAATTTTATTTTGGTCGATACTGTCGATACTGCAGGAGGGTTGGCAGTAGCTTGGTCCCCTAAGCGCGGTGCCTCAGTGTTGTTTAGTTATTCTTTCTTTATTTCTGTTAGTTTGCAAGTCAATGGAATAATTGTAGTCGTGGTGTTTGTTTATGTAAGTTTTCACTAGCAAGAATGTGTTCTGCAGCTTAATACATTACGCAGTTACTATGCGGGATTAAGCGAACCATACTTGATGGTAGGGGATTTTAATGGAATCCTTTCCTCCAATGAAAAAATGGGAGAAAATCCGTGGATCCAACTCAGGCTCAACATTTTTCGATATTTTGTAGATGGTCTGGGTATTCAAGACTTGGGGTTCCGAGGTAATCCTTTTACCTGGTCGAACCGGCGAATGGGGGATGTGTGCATTCAGGAACGATTGGATAGAGTTTTTGCCTCGGATCTCTAGATGGACAAATTTTCGGAGTCGCTTGTTATTCATGGCACAGACCTAGGGTCGGATCATCACGCACTAATCGTGTCTGATAGATTGTACAAACGAGAGGCGAGATCCCTCTTTCGATTTGACGCTAGATGGGCTTCAAATCCGGAGGTTAGGCCATTTGTTTGAAGAAATTTGGCAGGAGCTAATCCACGGGTCACCGATGTACTAGTTGTGGACCCGGTTGAAGAAACTGAGGCACTGCCTCCATCAATGGAGTCTGGACGGGTACTTCAAACTTGGCAAGGCAAATACTCATGTCGGAGACTGAAATTGCCGAAATCAAGGCAAAGTACCCAATTGATTATGACGGGTGAACAGGAGTAGAAGAGCAGTATTGGCGACAGAAGTCCAGAGTTTGGTGGTTAAAGGTTGGGGACCAAAACTCATCGTATTTCCATACTATCACCAGAGCTCGGTGAAGGCAGAATTTTGTGGAGCAGTTGCAGAGTGAGGTTGGTGATTGGGTGGAGGAGGAGGATGCGAAATCTGATTTGGCTGTCAATTTCTACTTACACTTGTTTGCCTATGAATCGGAGGAGGAGGGTATGTGGGATAAAGTGAATGGTTTACCCATTGAACGGAAGGTGACAGAGGATATGAATACCAGCTTACAGTTGAGGTGACTCCTGAGGAGATCCGGAGCACAGTCTTTGCGATGGGATCAACGCAAGCCCTAGGGTCAGATGGCTTTACTGGAAAGTTCTTTAAAAGCTTTTGGGACATTGTAGGATCCTCAATGGTTGAAGTTGTGCGCTCATTCTTTGCTAATGGGTGTATCTTACGAAGCTTCAATCAATTTATCAATAAGATCATATCGAAGACTTTGTATCAAATTCGGATCTAATTGTATACTTTTTATCCCCGATTCTCTTTGAAGTTTGTTGCAATTGAACTCCAAAAGGGTTGGTTTTACGCAAGGTTTCTTGTGTTTCAGTGTGTTTCAGATCCTAACAGGTAAAACCAAACCCGGAGTCAGAAGTTGGAAGAAAAGGAGCAAAGACCGGGCAAAGAGGTGGAGACAGCCAGTGTTCATGGCCAGACGTTGGAGTTCACGGTCTCACGAGACTGTGAACTGGAGCCAGAACCCGTGTACCGAGGAGCGAACATATGGGGTTTTTAGGTTACTGACTCCCAGGAAGTTCACGGTCGCTAAGACCGTGAAAAGAGGCCACTGACCGTGAACCCAAGCCATTGAAACCGTGCGTTTTGCTCTCAGCACTGAGTTCATGGACTCGTTTCAATGTTCACGACCGTGAACTCAGGCTGTGCACTGTGTGAGAAACTTCCCTTCTTCAGATTTTAGAGTGAGAAAGTGACGAACCAAAGAAGAGGAAAAGCTAGGGTTTCATCTTCAAGCAAGGTTTTGGGAATTCCTTCCCCAAAGGAGGGTTTCTTCAGCACAAGGAGCAAGGATTGCATCTTCTTGATGGTTTCCCTATCCCTCTCTTGTGTTTTCCCTTCTACTAGCATGGAGTAGTCCCTTCTTTCACTTGGTGTTTGTAAACCCTAACTACAATTATGTGAATGCTTCTATGAATTAGATTATTTGTGTGTTGTGTTTTAATGTGAATGTGGAGGTATTATTCAGAAATGATTGTGTTGTGTGAAAGCCTATCAATCTAATTGTCATTCTAACCTAGCTTGGAGAGGAGACATCATTAGGTTAGGAGGCTCAATTTGCAATGAGTGTTCTTGGGCATTTCATGCCTCCTAGGCTAGTTTAGAGAGGAAACCTCCTTTACCTAGAGGGGTTCGATTCAAGCCAGGTTTCCTTGGGGATTCAATGCCTCTTAAACTAGTTTAGAGAGAACCCTCCTTAACCTAAGAGGCTCATTTCAAGATGGGTTTCCTTGGGCATTCAATGCATCTTAAGCTAGTTTAGAGCAAGGATTGAAATACCGTACCGTCGGTTGTACCGGAAAAGGTAGCAGTATGATATTTTATGCTAAAACCATGGTTTATCTGTGGTTTAACCGCTTAATATTGCTAAATACCGATGGTACGGTATGATACGGTATTTTATGGTCGAACCGCCGGTACGGTATTTCAATCCTTGGTTTAGAGAGAACCCTCCTTAACTTAAGAGGCTCTATTAGAGATGGGTTTCCTTGGGAATTTTATGCCTCCTATTCTAGGTTAGTTAAAGGGCAAACCTCCTATTTCACATTACCACTTAGCGTTTGGTTGTGGGTGGCCGTCTGAACTCCAATTCGAGGATGAAGTCTAACCATTCCTTGGTTGATAGGTTGAGAGGGTCACATTAGTGGCTTGGATCGTATCCCATTCCTCAACCTAGAGGCCAAGAGGGTAGTTTCGGCTGCTTGTCACACTTCCCTACGGTTTATGACCCCCTAACCACACACGGTCATTCGATTCTTCAAGTCATAATTGTAAGCTAGGGGTAGCAACACCCGGTTGAAGCTTTCTCAACTGAGTTAAATCTATTTTACCTTTACAAAGCAATTTAGTTTTAGACCTTTGTTTTCACCAAAACCAATCCACTAGATAATGTTTCAAACAATCGAAGTAGCGGTACATGGACCGGTCTAGATTGATATTTAAACATATTTGCCATATATTGTACACATCTAAGGTTTATACTCGGACCTTAGGTGGGATTTTATTGTGATAATCATAGCGAGTCAGTATCGCCCGGTCAGAATTCTTTCATCAGAGAACGCCAGATTGTTATAACGTACTTATAAGACATGAGATAACGCATTACTTAAAATTAAGAAGAAAGGTAAGAAAGGTTACTTAGCTCTGAAGGTTGATATGGAAAAGGCCTATGATAGGGTTGGGTGGCTGTTCTTACTAGCGGTCTTTAAAAAGCTGGGTTTTAGCCCGTTATGGATCGTTTGAATTCGAGAATGTGTGTCAACTGCTAGTTTCTCCGTTTTAATGAATGGTAAACCATCGGGGTTTTTCAGGCTACCAGAGGTTTACCGCTGGGAGACCCCTTGTCGCCAATGTTGTTTGTTCTCTATATTGAGGGATTTGCTGCCTTTCTTTGTCAGCAATTGGAAGGGAGGAAATAGAGGGAGTTCGCGTGAGCCCCAAGGCGACGCAGGTGACACGCTATAACACAACTCCAAACAGCGACCAAGTGTAATCGCAGTCCGGAAATTCAGTAAAGTGGAAAGTTCTAATTATCAACCCGAGGTCTAGATCTACTGCATACTCCGTGAATATCTATTATCTAGCCAACTAAGTCGATGGATTGTGGTTTTAATTAAAAGCAGTAAGAAAGCGGGAAAAGATTCGGTTTTCTAAAGCAAAGGAAGAGTCACTCGGGAATGAGTCCCACTAGCTCCTTAGTTAGGTTTCAGTTGTAATTACCCTGGGTTGATAAACTGTTGATTAAACTGCGGATGATCCGACAACAGCTTGGAATCTCTTAAGCTGACCAAGCCCTCTCAGTCCAACTACCCGGCAGACGACTAGTCTTCACCGGGACAGAAAGTCGAGGCAATAAGCACAGAACTCCACTATTAGAATTGGGTTCCAGTACAAAGAAGTAGATTGATTAACTCTCGTATAACCAATCTACCACTACCGAATGATGAAGCTCTAACAACCTAATCAGATTCTATCTATCTCAGGTTGCAGCAGAAATCAAGAAAAGATTATCAGACTTCAATTGATTCAATGAATCATGCATCATTCGATTAAAACCAAACAGTATAACAACCCCAAGTCATTACAATCAAGATCCCTAACACATGGAACTAGGGTTCTTCATACCCAAGTGAGAGAAGATTCTACTCCATAGAGGGAGAGAGGGAAACAGAATACAAAGCAGTCATACTCATAACAATGGGAAGAATCTTCTTGGGATGTCAATCTTCACTCCAAGGATGATTTCCAAACTCGATTGATGAAACCCAACTCCAAAACCACTCTTAGGGGATGTTCTTCGCACTTTCTCTCTATAGGGCTCTGTTTTTGCTCCAAAAAGTCAATTCCTTCTCCTTTGGCTCGAATTTGGGTTAAAACCCAGAAATTCCCGTTGGCCACACGGCCGTGTGGTTTTCCCAGCTGCCCGTGTGAGTTGTGCAAAATGCGGCGTTTCGATAAGTGGACTTCAGCCATCCTACACGGCCACAACCACACGGCCGTGTGGTTGTGGCCGTGTAGGATGGCTGAAGTCCACTTATCGAAACGCCGCGTTTTGCACCGTGTGGATTTCCAGGCTGCCCGTGTGAGTTCCATGGAATTTCCACACAGCCACATTTGTTCCCTTACACGGTTGTGTGGGTTTTAGGCATGCCCTTGTGACTTCCTCAGCTTCTCGCCAAACGTCTAATCTCCGTCCAATCGACCCCGAAGTCGTTCCTAAACCTTCATTCACGTACT